GGTTGGAAACATGAGGAGTATATGCAAACACTGTGCCATTTTAAGGAACTTGATCAGCTTTGGATTTTAGAATCCCGGGGTTCACTGAAACCAATCACCTGTGATTATGGAGGGACAACTGTATGCACATCTAGAGCATGTTTCTTTTTTTCTGTTTATTTTAAAAATTTTTAATATTTTTATTAGTACGTGTTTCCATTTTTAACAAGTATATTTGTCATGGGGAGTTGGTACATGTACATAACACATATTAATTCTTTTTACTTACCCATTTTTGCCTCCTCCTCTACCCTCCTCCATCTTTTGATCCCCTCCCCATTTACAAAAGATCTGTCTTCCTGTTTCCTATTATCTATCTCTTTTTTTGCCCTTTACATTTCATTATTTCTTGACTTGGCTTTATTGATTCTGAAGACACAGGCATTTTTAGTACATACAAATGGACCCACCCATATGTGATTGATTTCTATTATAGAATCCTCTGAAAAAATTGTACATTTCTGCATTAACATTGAACATCACACCATGTCCTGAATCCAAACAATTCCACTGAGCAAAAACCTGATAACACAGGTCACCCGAAATATGAATATGGAATTTTAAAATACTTCTGCATTTTTTAAGTACTGGTGATTCACCCAGGACCTTGGGAATGCTGGTCATGTGCTCTACCCCTGAGATACATCCCCAACACTTTTTGTTTTTTATTTATCTTACTAAGATGTTAAGTTGCCTACACTATCCTTGAACTTGCCATCCTCCTGCCTCAGCCTCCAGGGTAGATGGGATTACACGTGTGCCCCATCATGCACAGCTTATTTCTGGTATTTTTTGAAGTGACTCAGGCTGTATAGAGTCAAGCATTAGGAAATGAAACTTTAGGGAATGGCCGGTGCATTGTGCTATATGAATAGATGGCTTGTAGGCTGCACGGGTATCATCTGATTCATTCTTTGGTACAAACCCAGTTATTTAGCAGCCAGATAGGTTGTTGCTGTTGGTGTGGAAGTCTATGTCAGCATCCTCTCCCCAACCCCAGCTACACAGAGCTACAGTGAACAGCTCACCAGGGGCAACGCTATGACTGGAACCCAGCTTTGATTCAGTTGTTCTTTCAAATGGTGCTCTAGGAACTCTGAGGATTGCTAGGGAGGGGGAAGGTAGGGTAATAGGATGCCATTTACCCCTTATATTCTTGTTGGTTTTCATCACTGTTTGTTCCCCGTGATATCCCAAGGTCTGGTTTTTACTAGATGGCCTCTGCTGGTAGAGTCCCACAAGGCCTCTCTAGGAGCATAGCTGGACTCCTTGCAGGACAGCTCAGGGCTCCTCAAAATGCAAAGCAGAGGCCTCTAGATATTTCAGCTTACAGCTGGGATCAGCATCACATCATCTACTGCAATTCAAGCAAATCACCGACCCACCCAGATTCAGGGGAAGGGATTCCACAGAGCTTGAATGTGAGGAGGCAGGGCTTCCTGGGGCTGCAGTGTCATCTCACCTGTTTAGAGTGCTGCTTTGACTGCACCAGTTACCACAGAGACATGTGTGGGCTGGTGTCTTCTAAAAATATGTTTATAAAGAGAAGAAAGCAAGTGGAAAAGACTTGCACAGATCAGGCAGAGTCTGGAAGGGACTGCATTGCCTCTTCCTCTAGAGGTATTTAAAGAGATAAATCACCAGTGTGATTTGGCATGGCAGGAGTCAGAAAAGCCGGTGACCCTTGGGACCTTGGGGTTTCAACCCTTGTTAATATGTTGAGGACCATTGTATTCTCATTCCTTCCAGAATTTTGTTACTGAATACAATCTGAAGGAGCCAAATGAGGGTCATAATATAGAATCAGCTCTATTGCTATAAAACTGGGTTACAGAGGTGCCAATACCATTTGTGTCCCTTTTACAGCCTAAGACTTGGCTTCTAGAGCATAAGTCACTGATATACTCCCAGGGCAGGACTGACAGCTGACAGAACAGAGGTCTGGGAGGGCTTGGTGCAAGTAGATTCTTAGTGACACTGGAGATAGCAGCTCAAGGCCTTCCTCACCCATCCACACTGAGCACAGGACAGTCGGAGTGGTCAAGGCACACAGAGTGGCTTCTTTTTGCTCTTTAAATACCTGCTGACACTTGGTTATTGTGACTGTGGAGGTTGACATGCGGAGGGGAAAGAGGGCAGAAGCACTCATTATACACTTACTCTTTCTGGGGCAAGTGGGCAAGCTTTTCTCTCAGTAGAGACCAAGGTATAGGAAGATTAGCACTGTCCTCATAAAAGTCAAAGTAGAGTTTTATAGCCATGTTGTCTTCTCCCTAACCTAGATTATTACCAGGGACTTGGAGGATCTTGCTGTGGCTCTTCTGATTCCACTGAAGGATATTGCAGAAGTTACATTTAAAACCATTGGCATTGGTGTTTTTCACTCTTTTATTTGTTTGCTGGTGTTGTGCTTTGCATTGTTATGGCTTAGACCTGAGATATCCCCTGAAATGTCTTGTGTGTTCACAAGTGGAATTTTTAGAAGGCAATTGTAGCTTCGTTGGTAGATTAATCCATTTATGTGATCATAAATGATGGCATTATTGGGAGGTGATAGAAACAGAAATTCAGACCCAATTAAAAGAGTGGGTCATGAGATTGTGACCTTAGAGAATATATCTTGTTTCCAGGCCCTTCCTCACTGGTTCTTTCCGTTTTTCTCTGTTTCCTGGCTGCAGTGAAGTGAGCAACTTTTTGCTACCATGCCTTTTGCTATGATGTGCTGCTTCCCAGATACAGAGGCACTGGCAACCATGGACTGAAGCCAAAATGAGATTTTCTTCTTTTTTTTCCTAAGGTATTTGGTCACAGTGACAAAAGTTGACTGACATAATAATGTTAGTAATAATCTAGAGTCTTGATCATGCTAGGTGTGAAAGATCTACACCCTCTGCCCAGCTTTGGTGCTTTGATGGTTAGTTTTGCATCAAGTTAATTGGTTACGGATCTCCCAGATATTGAGTGTTTCTAGATGAGCATATCATTCTACATGAATTTTAAGGTAATTTTCCTATTTCTGTGAAAAATATCATTGGATTTTTGATAGGACTTATATTAAATCTATAAAGATTTAGATCTATAGATTAAATCTATAGATCACTTTGGGTAGCATGAACACTTAAATATTCCTATCCCATGAACACAAATTACCTTTCAAGCATTGGGTTACTTTCCAAATTTTTACTTTGATTCAAGTAAAGTTTCCATTTACTGAGAGTGGAAAATAGTCAATAGCCAGAAAGCCATTTATGTCTGAATGAGGCGTTCTGTCTGTCTACGCAGTTGGCTATGTGTTTTTGCTGGCCTTCCGTAGTTTGTGCTGGGTCCTCTGTCTGGAGGATTCCTGTCCTCTCATACCCTCTTGAGCTCCCCAAAGGAGGGATTGTATTTTTATTTCTGTCTATTGCTTTTGTGTTATCTGTGCCATGTGAAATGTTTAAGTGACCCTTACTTATCCTTGTAGACTGGTGCAAGCTCTGATGTTGCCCCTGCTAACACACAACCTTCATTTCCCACCGAGTTCATCACTTCTTACTTGTTTCTTCAGTTAGTTGCGTATGTGTATGTTTGTCTTGATAAATTGTGTGAGAGCAGGGACTATCGTATCACTGTGGATATCACCAGGGTCTTGTGTTGTACTCAAGCATTCAAGAAGCATTTAAATATATATGGGGGAGGTAAATGGAAGAGCTGCTTATACATTTTCATTAAAAGCATATTTATAAAAATAGTAGGCTTATAGATTCACATCTGGAAATTTTTATTTTGTGTTCCTTTTAAGTAGATGAAACCATTCTCAAGAATAGATTACTATATTTAGTTACTTCTCTTTCTCCTTTATCTATAAGGGCTTGGTACACCATGGCCTTCAGCTACTCACTCCTTTTTTTATAAGTGATTAAGAAGTTTGCTGTCTTCAGTGACATTTATGAGAAGTGTAATCATTTCCACAAACCTGCCAAATCAAAAAGTAAACTCATCAATGAAGGGTGGAGAAATCTGACCCAGACAGTCATCTCCCCACACAGAAATGAAGGGATGGTTACTCATATTGTGTAGAAATTATAAATTCTGTCCCAGAACAAATTGGCTTCCCAATAGATAAAGACCATTATTCGATTCTACACAGTGTAAACTTTCTCTCTTTTTCTTAGTGATTGCATTTAACTTTCAAATGTTATTTTCTTACCTTAAATTCTTGAAAAGAAAATAAGGACAGTTGATTCCCTGAGCACAAAAGATACTGAATATTTTTGAGCTACAAAAATGTCAGAAGTAGTGAGAATATGCTAAGGCAGCCAACCACATCCGGCCCACGTCACTGCATCCTACATGGGTGATTGGCTGATACCGCTAAAGAGCACAAATGTGCACCTCTCTGGCTGCACAAGAATGTTCTGTGGTGTGGACACCTTGATTACTCTCTACAAAACAGGAGAATCTGGTTACTCTTCTTCATGAAGGAGAAGTTTCTCTACAGAGTGTGTATTCCCCTCTATCCCCCTTTCTCGCCTTGGGAAGGCCTTCTTTAGAATGAGCAAATAAGATCAATAAAGCCATTGTTGTCTTTTGGCCACAGGACTGTCAAGGCTAATATACTGGGCAGTACCCCAAAGAAATTACTTTTGGTTTTCTCCTGCTTTCTATGCTTCCATTGGAATGAAAAATTAGGTGGGCTTTAACTATGTCTCACAGGAATCCAGTGAATTTCTGAAGAATTCTTTGACTGGTTGGTTGGTAAAGTATGCCTCCTTTACTACCTTGTTTTTGGAATATAGCAATCTTAGTACTTGCATTCAAAATACTTGGTTGTAAAGCACTGACCTTTTGTGTTCCTCAGAGGGCTGTATTTCTGCTCAAGAAACTTTGTTTTAAAAGAAGGTAGAAGTGCCTGGGTTGGTTGCCATTATTTATATCCTTATTGAATCTCATGTGCCCTTTTCTTTTCTTTTTTTTAACAGATACAAATTTTGTGTTGGGAAATGCCCAGATAGTGGACTGGCCTATCGTGTACAGCAATGATGGATTTTGCAAGCTGTCTGGCTACCACAGGGCAGAAGTGATGCAAAAAAGCAGTACCTGCAGGTATTTATGTTTGGTGTCCTTTGGAAAAATAAAATGACTTATTCTTGAATTTGCTGTTAACTCATTCAGTATTTTTTCAGAAACTTTTGCTGCAGTATCTTTTCTAGTTCATGCTTGTCTACCCAACTGGCAAATTTGCAATCAGTAAGGCGGTGGTGAGGGAATGCAGGAGAACTCAGAAAAACTCAAAAGTTTATAAAGTTTTAGATTGAATTAAATGTGCAAGTTGGAGAATAAAACAAAATGAAAATGAAGTAAAATTAGCCGGGTGTGGTGGCACACTCCTGTAGTCCTAGTACTCAGGAGGCTGAGGTGAGGATCGTCATGACTTTGAGGCCAGCCTGGGTTCCAAAGTGAGCTCAAGGCTGGCCTGAATCATATAGTGAAACCCTGCCTCAAAAAAGACCAAAAAAAATTTTAGATCATTAATTTAAAAATGATTAACACCATAGAGAAAAGTTAGAGCATAATGTTAGAGACAAGGGCATTGTTAGAGCTTTTCCTAGCTAAAAGGAGAAGAGATTCAGTATTTTCTAGCCATATAGTTGTGCTGTCATCTCTCTGTCTCTGTCTTTGTCTTTCTTTGGCTCTGGCTCTGTCTTTCTGTCTCTCTCGTCTCTTTCTGACCTCTTAGCAAATTGTACTAACAACACAGATTATGTATTTGACAAAGTTGCTAATCAAGCAGTACCCTTGGGCCTGGGCACTAGCAAAGATCTTTCAAAGCATCTTCGAGATGGTGAGCAGAGCACGTAGCCCGAACCTGCCAGGCATCTCACTGCAGCGCCCTGACAAGGATTTGGCTCATGCAGCCTTTGGCTTCTCCCACCTGTTCCTTCCCTAGTCTTCTATCTCCAGTGATGTTTTGCATAAAGGGAAACCATTTTCCATACCTGCCAAATCAAGAAATAAAGTCCTCCATGAAGGGTGGGGAAACCTGTCTAAGCAGGCATATTCTATTTTCAGAAGTTACATTTTCATGTATCAAATTAGCCAAATATTTTTAGTTGTGGAAATACTCAGAAAATATTTTAATATTCTTAAATTTTAGATCATTAAGACTGAAAAATGGAAAATTTAAGATTTTCTCCTCTACTACTCAAAGGTTGAGAAATTATGGCTCCTAACACAATGGAATTCTCTTATATAGTTTGTTTTGTTTTCCTCTTAAGAGTGTATACCTGTGTATCTCCGTCTATGTCTCTATCTGTACTATATACATGCAATCAACAAATCAAGAGAACTACCATTTTAGTATGACTCAAGTGGCTTTTCTTTACCTTTCTTTCTGCATATTAGTTATAATCACTTTCAGGAAATTAGATACTTTGCAAATTTAGTCAGTTTTTACACACAATTCTAAATATCTTATTTAATTATATAAATATGTCTATTTAGGAATATATGCACCTCTCTGCTTGCTTTATCTTGATAATTCAGGAGTCTCTTTTACTTAATTCATGCATTTTGAACATTTACATCTCCTGGCAAACTAGTTTCATGAAAAATTTTATGAGACTAATGGAAATGGAGCACTTCTGGCACTTACTGATGTGAAGACTTGGCTTTGCAAGGATCTGAGTTCCTTATAAAAGAAATTGCTAGAATATATACTGTCCCTTCACTTACATGGATGTCACTGACACAGAAGTCATAAAATCAACAGTTAAAGTTCTTTTCTTCTGAGATGTCAGAGTGGGGAAGTCTATGGTAAATCTAAGACTATTCTGGACTGAAACTAAGTGTAGTGCTTTTCTTGATGGTTTGGTTTTAGATCAGAAATTGCACTTGATAGTCTCAGAAGTTCGTTGTAGTTCTGAAATTCTGATTCTGTTGTTCAAGTTATCAAGACAAAGTCAGATTGTATTCAGTCTGCATGGTTTTAGAAGCTTGGAAGTTATTGTGTAGGAAGCCTTGCAACCCCTTCTGCATGACTTAGGCCTTGAGGAGTGATCTGTTGTTTCCTTGTTATTGATCCCCGAAGGGTTGAAGTGGGCAGGAGAAGCTTTCTGGACACACAAGCTGCCTTCCTCAGAAAACTGACTCTTGGCTCCATTGAGTGAGGCTTTTCTTGTCCTGCATCTTGTTCGTGTTCTAAGCCATGGTTCATTCTGTCTGCTTGGGGTGTATACTGTTCCCAAAGGGGCACATTTAAGTTTTCAGGATGTGTTTATTGTGAGGCCCAGGAAAGTGGTCAGCCCTGGAATTTCTCCTACCTCTGCTGAGTTGAGGTTAACAGGTAGAGCTCCAACTGTCTGTAGTTGTCTCTAGCTTTTTAAAAAAATCATGCTGCTTATTTCCTCCCTTAGGCTATTTTCCCCTAAACTTCAGCAGTAGAGAGATGAGAAATACATTATTAAGAACATGTAGGATTTTATTCCTTCCAAGCTTTTTTTCTTGATTTTTGAAAACTTTAGTTTATTAATACGTGTGAGTAGTACATACTGTTCACACTCCTTATGTGTAGTTGGTACATGCACACATCTTAATTCCTTCTTTTTATCCCTTTTCTCTTTCTTGCTTTCCCCTCTCCCCATCCTATCTCAAATTTTAAAAACTCAATTCTCTTTTTCTTTTTTCAAGGAGAGGGCTGGCCAGAAAAATTACTTTTTTTTTTCTTAGCTACGAATTAATGTTTAGAGCAGCAGACTGTACCTTTTTCTCCTTTGGTTGGTGAATTTTATTCCTTTCTCTTGTTTATTTTACTAGGAATTAAAAGAAGAAAAAATCTATACTTCAAATTGACTTAGCTATTTTTATTAGAAATCTCAGAGTTGTATTTGTAAAATGAAATCTGATTGTTTCTTCTTCTTTTCTTCTCCTTCTCCTTCTTTTTCTTTCTTCTTCTTCTTCTTCTTCTTCTGTACTGGGGATTGAACTCAGGACCTCATACTTGCTAGGCAGGCACTTATGCCACTGAGCTATACTTGGCCTAATTATGTTTCTTCTTTGTTTAAAATCTTTTCCTATCATCCAACTGCTTTCAGAATAAAGTTTAAATTCTCTCATATGGCTCATGATGCCAGAGTCCCCTCTATCGTTGGGCCTGTCTGCCACTAATGAGGGCTTCCCCTTCCTTGTCTAAATTCCAGGCACTGAACTGAGTTATATTCAGGTTCTGGAACTAACCTCTTATCTCAGAGCCTTGGCACAGGCTCCTGTTTTGTTTGAAAGTTCTCATTCCTCCGTTACTCAGCTAGTTCCTCTTGCTCTTTGTCCTTTCTTCTGAGAACCTTCTCTGACTAACCAGACGGTGGTTCATGTCTGTTTTGTCTGCAGCTACGGTAATTCTGCTCACATTGCTTCTGAATCTATTCTTCCTAGTGTGTATCTCTCCTCAAACTATTAGTGGGGAGAGTATATTAAATTAGTGTGTCTTTTTAAATTCAATAAAGATTTTCATTGCATAGGTATATGTGTGTGTTCTACATTACATAGCGCAATCCTGTGTGTAGAATAGATATTTAATAACTTGTGCTTATAGAAAAATAAATACTGGCTAATCCAACTTAAGCTCTTTGATTTGCAGTTTTATGTATGGGGAGCTGACCGATAAAGACACAGTTGAAAAGGTGCGGCAAACATTTGAGAACTATGAGATGAATTCCTTTGAAATTTTGATGTACAAGAAAAACAGTGAGTATTCAGACCATTGTGAACCATGCCTTTATGTGTATGAAATGGTATCTCCTCTGCCTATGTTTCTGCATAGGTTTTTATTCTCTCCCATAAACTAGATGTAGTTCTTGAAACCACTGTGTATATTGGCATTAATATGTGATGGACCAGTTATACTCTTCCTCCCAGGAAGACTTGATCAGGTTCTCATTACTAACTGATGACTATTTTACTGCCAAGGGTTAGGTTGTTTGTTTATTTATTTACTTGTATACTTAGGTGAGCCTTGTGTCTTAAGGGGGCCAGAAAGTCTGTTCAACTCATGTTTGTAGTTCTCCTCCATAGCACCTAGTACAGTAACTCTAAGAGGTGCCCAAGTAGGAGTTTCAGAATAAAATATTCTCCTGGTAACTCAGGTGATAGTGTTAATAGCAATGCATTATCAATTTGGATTTTTTGGTTATAGTTACTTCCATAAAGTATGCTAATGATGTTTTTGGGTAAATAACCATTTATCAATATAAAACTAGCTTTTCTTTTAGGACATTTCCTGTTGAGTGGAGATCAGATACACTAGTACTCATGGATCATTGGCTATAGCAGCACTGCAGAGGTGTTGAATAGAGCTTTGTTTTTGTTTGGAAAACACGATTGTGTTTATAAAGAATCCTGCCCTTTATATGCATGGCTGATGCATAGGCTGCTGGTTCAATAGAACTCTTCCAGGGTGGCCTGGAAGGTGCATAAGGATCAGTGTCTATTTGGTGCATTTGGGTCTGAGTGTTTTTCCTTGAAAAGCAAAAGGTGCATTTTGCTTTTATCTAGTGGAACTGGGACCCTGTTTATTTTTCTTTTTGAAAAATTAATTTTATTGAAATATTGCATTCATTATAGGAATCTGTACCTCCTGTACATGATATATCTTAATTCTTTTTCCCCCACTCTCCTTCCCACCTTCAACCTTTCTTTTCCTTTTTATCTACAAAAGCTCTTTTCCGATTTTTTTTCTCTATTCCCCCCTGCCCCCCACTTCTCCTTCCCAGTTGAACATTTTCTTCCTATTTCATAATAACTGTTACACATTTTGGCCCTTATTTGCTCTTGATTTTTCATAAAAGAAACCTTACAGTATTTAAACATGTGTCTGATTTGCTTTAAGATGCACTCATTTAGTTATAAGTGTTTCGTTTATCCTTCTTTATGACTAAGTAAGACTGTGGTCTCAAGATGCACCCATTTATCTAGAAATGTTTCAAGTTGCACTCATTTAGCTAGAAATGTTTCATCCTTCTTCATGACTAAGTAATACTCCACTGTTAACAAACCATATTTTTTATTGATTCATTGATTGATGAGCATTTGGGCTGTTTCTAAGATTTATAAATTACAAGCTATGCCACTATAAACATTGGCGTGCACATACATTGGGGAATTATGCTTTTAATTCTTTCAGGAAGATACTAAGCACTGGAATAGCTGGGCCAAATGAAAGCTCTAGTTTTAGTTTTTTGAAGAATCTCCACACTGATTTACACAGTGGTTGCACCAATCTACATGCCCAACAACAGTGAAGTTTTTCCCCATACCTTCCCCCAGCCCCCGCCCCAGCATTTGCTACTGGTTGATTTCTTGATGATAGAGTGAGCTGAAATCTCAGTGTTATTTTAATTTGCATCTATCAAATGACGTTCGATGTTGAACATTTTTCACATATTTCTGTGCTGTTTCTACTTTTTCATGTGAGGAATTTCTATTCATTTCAAATGGCCTTTTTTGGATTGGGCCTTTAAGTATGAGGAGTCTGATTTTTTTCTGAGTTCTTCATATATTCTAGATATTAGTGGGACTCTGATGCTTTGCATTTGTATTTTGCTTCTTTCTGAGTTTTTAAGCTTCATTAGACCATACATTTAACTCACCAAAATTTGTCTACGCATTTGACAGGTGAGAAACACATACACACATGTATGCATGCATGCACTGATATGGCTTAAGTTGAGATAATGATTTTACTTGCATTCATTTCAGTGAGTATGTACTCCAGAGTGAGGAGGAGATGAGAGACAACAATCTGCTATTTCCCAGCTGTCTCTGAGGAGGAAGGCTTTGTATGGATAGTGTCTTGTTGCTCCAAAAGGGATTCTGACACTGGAAGTTCTGTTCTTTAGGTAGACATGAACTGTCCATGTCAGCCAACTATTTCAGCTAAGGTGTCACTGTGTAAGGAATCTGTGTTAAATCTAACCCCAGATTGTGGTGGGCTTATTGAGTGACAAGTGACAAGTGACAACCTCTAAAGTAGCATGTTGACCCGGATACAAGGCTGTAGTTTATGGGTGATGTTAAGACTTTTCAAAGGCAATTGTGGTCATCCCTATTTTTACTTTAGCCTTTAATCAAAAAAAAATAAGCTTATGGTTATTTTTGGTACTGGAGATCAAATCTGAGGTGAGAGGATCACAAGTTTGAGACCAGCCTGAGCAATTCAGCAAGAGCTTGTCTCTAAATAAATAAATAAATAGACTGGTATAGTATAGAAAATAAATTTTATGTAAAGTATAAAGTGTTGATTCATTAAGCCATGTGAGGTAGGCATGTCCGAAAGTTAAATTCCTTTTTTAAGGTCGCAGAGTGCCAGGATTGTTGTTTCGTGTTTGCTCCATGTCCATTCTAATTGTGGGCACAAGGCAGGGCCACCTGCAGAAGGTCCAAGCGAAAACGAGATTGTGGTTTTCTTGGTGAATCCTACATGTACCCTGGTCTGGGCATGCATCTATGCTAGGAAGGAACTTCTCTTAGTAATTTACACAGGGACACATAGAGGGTTAACAGAGGCTGTATACAAGGCTAACCCACACATTAAACAGGAGGCTTGAATTGAAGAAATGATGCAGTGTTGATTTCTTCCCAGGAACCTGATGACTGCATCCCTCCAAATCCTACCATCTGCTGGGGAATTTAGAACCATTACGTTATTTGTTAAGCCTGGAAATGATCCAGTTGCATTGGAGTATGTTTCTTTCAACAGCTGGGTTTTTTTTTTTTGTTTTTTTTTTGTTTTTTTTTTTTGGTACCAGGGATCAAACTTGTGACTTCATGCTTACCAGGCAGGCACTTACGCTACTGAGCGAAATCCCTGGTCCCAACAGCTGTTTATTGACCAAGTACCACAGGTACTGCACTTGCTGAAAGGGAATACAAGTGTAAAAAGACAGATGTGGTATCTTCTCTTACAGCATTTGCAGGGGCAAGGCAGTATCCACTGTACAGGCCATAAGTGCTTTGATAGTGACAATGCAAAGGTGAGTCCGTTAACTCTAGCCTCGGAAGTGTTCGTAATGGACATGGTATTAATGCAGAAACTGGAAGAGAGGTGGGAATTAGGCAGAGAACAGGGAAAAGAACATTCCTGGATGATAACATGTATGTGGAGAGAGCAGCAGGGAAAGAAACAGGGTATTGAGGGTTCAAGAGAGACAGAGCAATGCTTCTCAAGTTTGGTTCTAACTTACATGTGAATAGATATTCTGTCTATGTGGTGAGTCTGGGAAGGGTCCTGACACTTGCTCCAGGGTGATGCTAAGGCTACCAGCCTGCATGTCGCACTCTGAGAAGCCATGTCAGAAAGCAGCTCTAGTGGGCAACTTTCATGCCTGCACAGTGTGTCTTTTACAGCTGTATTCCTGCACCCGCTGTGTGCCTGAGAAATGCTCCACCAAGTCTTAGAGTAAATAAATACCTAAATAAATGAGGGGTTGCTAATGAGGCTGGAGATAAGTTAGGAAGGGCCAATTTAAGGGGTGCAGCATCAATTTAAGGGCAGCACTGAACCAGGCATAGGAGACTGAGGCAGGAGGATCACACATTTTGAGTCCAGCACGCGTGAATAAAAAATTAAAATGGCTGGGGATGTAGTTTAGTGCAAATGTCCTGGGTGATCCTCACTACTGAAAAAAAATTGCAATAGTGTGGGGCAAGAGAGGTGGAGTGAAAGGGGTTTTAAGTAGTGTGAGGCTAGCATCAGATTTCCTTAGAGAGATAACTCAGCTAGACGGTGGGGATAGGTGGAGCTTAGCTGGAGATAGTGGGCCCACTGGAGAAACCCTAGTGAGAAGGCCACTGTAGCCTGGTCAGCAGGAGAGGCCTTTGAAATACAGACGTCCACAAGACAGCGGGAGGAGGTGGTGAGTTGGACTTTCCAAAGACCACCTCTTTCCTCAATTTGCCAGGGCCCAGGCCTAGCCAGGAAGAAAAGATCCAGCACTTCCTGTGGGGACACTTGACTTCTTCGCATCAGAAGTGAAATTGCAGCGCCTCTGGGTCTTGCATGGTCTCAGTGTCCCACTGTTCAGCTGTCCCCCTGGCAATCTGGTGTAGAACTGGCCCTGAGTGTTTCTTGAGTGGCTTTGAGAGGAACATGAGAGTTACCAAGAAACAGACAAACGAAAGGAAATTACCCGAATCAGGTGAGGGCCTGGGAGCGAGGCTGCTTTTGTTCAGACTGGAAACTAGACGCTATCTCGCTGCAGCTTTAGAAGGTAAAGCATCATCATCTAAAAAGATGTTTCTTTTTGCTCTTTAATTTTAAAATTAGCGCACTTTTATTATGGAAAGCGCTCGAATTGAAAAAGAAGTCCAAAAGACCCAGAAATACTACTAACTTTTTGATGTGTTTTCTCTTGAGTTTTTGTTTGAAATTTTGAAATGTGCACGCTCTTTAAAAATCATGCATTTATTTAGTCTTTTATCAGAAGATACCCCCATAGTCAAATTTCTCATAAATATAATTCAGGAGGAATTTCCTTAATGCTTCCTCGATGGCGGAGTGTTTATGAGGCTCTAACTTATCGTCATTATAAAAATATTGAGGTGACTGTCAAGGTTTTATGTTGACATTATGAAATATTTCCTGGAAATTGAGAATTGCTGTGTCTCGAGACATTTTGCCAAAAAAGACTTCCAAGTTCACAAGCAGAAGATGACTGTCTCATAATACCTCACCAGCACTTTGCAGTTAT